GAGGAAGGGGTACAGGTGTTCCACATTGATTCTCTACATTGATCCCCTTAAGTCAACACACAAATACAACCCACAATCTTTTTTCTCCCTAAACAAAACGGGAGCCGCTACTCGGGACCTAGCTGGCTGAATGAAGCCCCTTTTTTAGGTTTTTCTCAATGTAGGCTCTCATTTCAGCCAGCTCCTGTGGGAGTCATTGAATACATCTTGGGTTTTGGTAATGGCGCTCCGGGGATGAGTTCTATGCCACAATCAGTTGGACGGTGAGGCGGTAAGACATCACACTCCCTTTTGCTAAAGACATCCTGTAGGTTGGTGTATTCTCTAGGAAAGCTGGCTCCCCTCCAGCGTTGCACTGGGTTCAAGTGCTTCCCTTGTCGCAGGCCACCTCTGGCACATGGGGTAGTTTCTCATGGGGTGGTGGATTGTGCCCTAAACCTATCCTTAAATGTCAACAATCACCACCGCCATCATATTGTAAAGCCCCATTTGTCGAGCCAGGCTAGGCCCAGGACAATCTCCTGTGTTATTCGAGGGACCACTATGAAATGTAGTACCTCCCTATGCTGGCCGATTTCCAACACCACCTTTTTGGTAACATGTGTGGCTGGTTGGCCTCCCAAAAAAGACCCATCCATCTGCTCAAATCTGATTGGCTGGGCTAATCTTTGTAATCCCACCCCCAGTTCGGAGGTGACAGCCTCGCTCATGTGGCACCGGTTGCACCCTGAATCTATGAGGGCATTGCACCTCTGGCACCGGCATGCTTCTAACACCACCTGCACTACAAAGGGCTTGATGGGCATATAAACCATCGAATCAGCTTCCCTGTTGCTCTTGCTGGTGTCAGTGCTATCCATCGGAGCAGATACCTCTTCTCCTGGGGTTGACTGGACCCTCTGGTGTGTCCCACGGGACTTCTCTGGAATGGCTCTTGTACTCTTTCAGGTGGACCCTTGTTTCATGTAGTAGGGCCCAGGGATGCCTTGGGATCCCCCTCGGAGCATTCAGTGGCTCTGTGTCCTGGCTTCCCACAACAGAAGCATGTCATGGGCAGCCTTGTGGGTGAGGTCCTCTCTGTTACTGTCACAGGCGGCACCTGGCAGAGGAAGGCCAGGCTCCCGGGACGGTGCTGGCAAAACAGGGTGATGGTCACTGGCCTCATGGACTCCAATCCCTCCTCTGTCATTTGTCCCAAAACTCAACGTCCAGCTTCATCACAGCCTGGAACCAGGCCGCCAGCCTGGGGGCCAATCCTCGGCATGCACAGGCTTGCTGCAACATCCGGTCAAGCCTGGCCTTGAAGTGGTACACCACCAGCTGCTCAGGCCACCTTTCCAATGAGCCGCCTGAATTCCTTGATGTATTCAGATACAAGCCGCCCCATCTGCTTCACCTTCATCAGGTCCCCCTTGGCCTGCTGCACCCTGGTGTTATCCTCAAACTTCTCCTGGAAGGTGGACAGGAAAAGGCCCATGACCCCTAATTCTGCAGCGTGGTTGCTGTACAGATTGGCCACCCACTCAGTGACTTTCCCACCACCATGACTGCCACCATGACTGCCACCACCACCATGACCATATATCATTGGGATGTGTATAACCAGCTATATCTATCAAACTGGTTCAGCACCTGCCCAAGGAACAAGGCCACTTTCTCAGAGCTTCCATCAAACATCGCCCTCACTGCTGGAGAGTCCCATCTCCCCATGGATTTGGGGCTATGGCTTGTTGCTGGGCCAACTGGGAGGTTGGGTGTACGTCTCTCATAGCCTTGGGGTCTCTCGCCTCCCCCCACCACTGTTCGTAGGGGAACCTGGCTTCTCTTGTCACCTCAGGGTTTGGCCACTGGGCCACCCCTCCAGGCTTCTTCTGTGTGTCATATGGATGTCCCATGCCAGGCATCTTGAAATGGCAGGGGCCCCCCCCTCTGGCAGCTGGCCCTTGTGAAGGGTGAGCCCAGGCCAGGCCCCTGCCAGACACTGCCACGGCCCTGCTCCCTAAAGCCATCCACCCCATACATCTCCTGCAACACTTCAATTGTTTGGTTGTCCACGGCCATGGAGTAACTCCAGTCATTGGAGATCCACCGCTCCCACCACTGGGTGAAATGTGCCCCCGATGGGGTGAGCAGCAGACCTTGGGGTGGAAGGGTCTGATAGTCCACAGTCCTGGAATTGCCCAACCACCAGTCCCTGGTTTCACCTTGTTCAGTCTCTGCCTGCAGGTGGCCATCCACAGGCTTCTGCCACCCTGAATGTTCCTTTGGCCTGACATCCACAGGTGCCTCCTCTGTTGGACCAGGTAGGGCCTCCAGTACAGTGACTTCCGTGGGAGCTACTGACTCCTCAAGATCAGCTGCCTCCTGTCACTGCGTTTTTGTATTTACCAGCTGAGCTCATTATTTCTGGACTGTCAGACTTTCCGTAGCTTGCCAAAATTTCTTATCAGTAACTGATACTACGCATGTCCGCATTCTTTCACATTGCTTCTCACTCTTTCCTTTGTTCTCTTGCCAGAAAGGTCCGGCTGAGAAATAGCTGGCACGAACTTTTGCAAAAATGTAACAATTAATTTTCTTAGTTAGTGAGGTGTTTTATTTTCTTTATAACAAATAAATGAGTTTTCTTAGAAGAAATATCTTTGGTTTTTGTTTTCTTAAAGTATAGTTGCAAGGAAAGGTCTCGATCCTCCCCTCGTAATCAGGGTGATTATCCCAAAAGCAGAATGGGATTAATCAACGCCCTGACACCTCCAACCCTGGCACCATACCTTCAGCCATGGTAGTTGTAAGGGAGCCCTAACAATTCTGTCAGGTTCCAAAAAGGAAGGAAAGAATCCAAACTCAAACCTGGTTTGTTACTTCTTGTTTTACTCCCCTTCTGGCACAAACTGACAATCACAAACTCAAAGGAATATCTTGCTAGGACTACTTGCCCGTGCTCCCTACCACCTTTTAAACACTAAGCACCACCCCACCCACTCATGTGCAGAGCTCCCTCCCACGTGCTCCGGAATTGAGAAGAAATCACCATCTGCCTGCTTTCAGGCCCATCCTCCTCAGCACTCTGCCCAATGAAGTCCTTAAGGGAGGACTGGTCATCAACTGAGTGGCCAATCCAGGACAGTCAAGGAGAGTGATGGCTGCCTCCCGGCTGCTGCTGCACCATCCTTGATGATGTCATCGCTGCGTGACCAACTCTCAGCTGTTCGGTGGCCACGTGGCCTGCTCCCAGCATGTACATGGCAGGCTGGCTCATCCCGGTGTTGCCAGTGTGTCTCCGCCTCCCGGTGAGGTGGGTCCTGGCTTGGCGGTGAGGCTGGCGGCTCCTGATGGGGTGGACAGCATTGGCTGGTGGTGGCTGGGTTGGCAGCTGGCCAGCGATTTCAGGGTAGTGGCTTCCCACCAAATGGCAGCTCTGGGCTGGCCAGCATGCCAGAGCTGACAGGAAAACTATTAAGCCTTAAAATATAGAAAGACCAGACTGGAATTTATAATACTGTGGAAAGTGACTTAAATCTTTAGATAATATCTTTTGATTACTGGAAGAATTTTATAAAGCAAAATGAACTTTTTGACTACTTGACAATCAGCTGTTAATATCTTTCACTTCAATGCTGAAAGTTAGAACTGGGGTGTTACCTACTGGTGAAAAAAAGATATTATACTATTACATAGCTGGGAAAGACCTTGAAGGAACCCAGGATTGATAAGCAGAAGGTAAATAACACCTGGAAGATTGTTTTCTTGTTGCTTGGGACTAGGCAATGTTTCCTTTTTGGAACTTGCTAAACTTGGTGGATTATAAATACTGCTGGCTTTGCGAAACGGCTTGGAGACTGAGAGAACTGGTCTTTTTTTTTAACTCTTAGCTTACAAATACTTTTGAAAGAGTGGGACTCAGTGGAATAGCTTGGAACTGTTTAGAGATTATGTGAAGTGACCTTTTCATTTACTGGATTGAATAACAGTGATCCTGGTGGATTTACACCAACTTTAGCAATCTCCAGGCCATTAAAGCAAAGACCAATAGATGCAATGTCACAACAGGGAAAAACAAATAGATTTCAAAAAGAAATAAAATGGATGCTTCAATCTATCCAGGAAGCTATGACAAAGAATTACAACGAGATGAAAAAAGACCTGGGGAAGATCAAGAAACAGATGCACAACATGGTTGTGCGATTAGGAAACCCTCAGCAAATGACAACAAAAAATGAACAAAGAACCCAAATAATAGAAGAGAAACCAGAAGGAGCGGAGGAAAAAATAGAGGAGAAAAATCAACAATGGATACAAGCAGATAAAGATCTGGAAAGGCTAGTAATCATTCCTGAAATGAGAAGGTAGCTTACTCTTTAAACTGTCAAAATATAGAAGAGGAGAGAGAGGAAGATTTCCCAGAAGTGATGGAGTTGTGGGTTATGGGCTCCACATAGAAGTCATAGTGCTAACAGTCTCAGTCTTTGATATGATTTATCTAAACTAACAAAATTTCACCAGGGTTGACTGTGTTTAACTTATTTTTTTATCCATTTTGATTTATTTATTTTAGCTTTTATTTTATTGCTATGTTTTTCTTTATATAAGGTTAGTTAATGACTGAAATAAAACTGATTGACTACAGTTTGTCTCTTAGGCAAATAATGTAGATTACAAAATATTGTTCTAGTCTTTGCTATTTCTTTTAATATTAATTGATGCTTCTCACTATTAAATTATGTAAAGTTTTTATGTAAAGTTATGTAAAGCATTGAAGGCATTTTTTATTGCTAGAACTGTGTATTTATATATTTATTTAACACCAAGACAGGGAACTGGTGGCACTCCCAGATGTTTCTGACATACAATATCAACCTCAGATGAGAATAGCCAGCAGCTGTAGTTTAGCAAAAACATGGACACCCCAAAATCCCCTATGCCTGATTTAGCCATTTGTTTTCAGAAGACTTAGATTATGTCATTAGGAATAACTTTTTTATTGTATCTCCACATTCTAGAATGTTAAGTGGGATATCGATGACAATCTGATGAGCCATTCCAGTTATCCTGCTCTACTGACTTTGAAGAGTGAAGGCAACCAGCAAGTGATGCTTCAGTCTCTGAAATTGATGGTTCAGCATGTTTTGGAACAGAAAAAGAAATTGGAAGAAGAGCTACAGGACTTTAAAGAGCAGATTGAGGAAGCTGGGTTCTCTTCCATTTCTCAGCTAAAGTAAGCCAAACTGACCTCAGAAAATATCTGGGCATCCAGCAGTCTAAGTTCTTATCAGGAGGCTCAATACATTTCACTATAGAAACAAAAACTATTAGACTTGCCCCAGCTTGGGTCCTTAGGAAAGAAAGACCCTCAACTCCATTTAGTTGGAATGATAGGTACTTTTACTGAAGTTAAGGGGTTGCAGCAAAAGAAAGGCTAGAGATGAATATTCCTATGCAAAGGTTACACTTTCCCCCTGTCCTCAGCTCTCCCTTTTGACCAGTTCATTAATGTCCAATAGCATTCCATTCAGATGATTTGAAAATGGCTTGGCTGTTTGGTGCAACTCAATGCCGTTTCACATTCTGTTCTCAGGCCAGGTGTCTTTTTTTTTTAAAGTTTTTTTTATTTTTATTTTTCATAAACATACACAAACGTACAATCTCTTAGCCATTATTAATCATACATATTATCTTTTGATTTTCATATTTGTTCAGTCTTCCTTCTAAAATTTTAAAGTATGCTCGGGGTTGCTCTTCTACCATTCCATATCTTCCTTATTTCACAACAACCCTTCCTCTCCTTCTCCCCTCTTTCCCTTACCTTCCTTCTTCTATTCTTTTCCACTTTCTTCTGTCCTCCTCTTCTTCTCCTTCTCTACTTCCCCTTCCTTTCCCCCACTCCTCCCCTCTTCCTCCCTTTCTAACCTACTCTCCTACTCTTGTTTCCCCTTCCTTTCTTCCTCTCCTTTTCCCTTTCTTCTGTCCCTCATGTGACTGGGTGGGCGTGGCCAATCTAGCAGTCCATTTTGCCAATTTAGCAGTCCATTAAACAATACACACAAATTAAACTTTAATTTGTTTTGTTCCTGGGGGTGTTTTATTTGCTTTTGTTTGCATATTGCTCTTTTGGTTGATTTTTCTTTTTACTAGATCATTTTTTAAGTTGTTCAGTAGTCTAGTGGTCCACTTCAGGAAACTCAGTTTTGCAGCAATTCTCAGCCCCAAGGAGCTTACAATGAACAAGTCCCCCCCCCCACCGCTCTTTCTTTCTCTATCTCCTTTCCACTGTTTGAGCCCCTCTGGAGAAACTAAGATTTCAAGTACAACTAAAGTTTAGCTCTCAGGTACGTTCAAAGACTTTTACCTGTTATATCAAAGGAAAGAAAAGTGTGCTAGAAGAGCAAATGGGAGGGGAAGAGAAACCAGGACATGGAATGCTTGATGGGTACAGAGATGAGACTGGTTCCTGGGGCATCTTCTACAGGATCCCCTTCAACTCTGGCAGTGCCCTGGGATACTTCGCTGAATTCCATTCCATTCCATTCCATTCCATTCCATTCCATTCCATTCCATTCCATTCCATTCCTTTCTATTTCATCCTATTCCCATTCCCATTCCATCCTATTGTTATTGCTGTTCCATTCCATTCCATCCTATTCTGTCCTATTTCCATTTCATTCCATTCTATTTGCATCACGGCAGTCTCAATCCACTTTTGGAATCTCGCTGGCTGCCCTGGAGCTTCCTCTACACATACCGAATGCATGCAACAGGCTCAGACAAGGGCTCCGCACGTCTGGCAGGCAGGATTGGACCAGGCAAGCATCGCTTGGAGCAGATCTGGCAAAGAAGCCCCAAGGTAGAGGCTGATCTGCCAGCCAACCAGTCCTTCCTGCCTCCCTTTCCAGAATCCATATCTTGAATAATGATCTACTATGCTCAGAATATAGCAGGCACCTCCTATGCTAGGTTTTTTGGGTCCAATTAGGTCTACAAACACTACCTCTAATGGATTTTTGGTTTTAAAACCATTAACACGGTTTGCTGGTGTAACCCTACTTTTCTGCTGACTACAGGCATTGCAATTTAGATATTTACTACATGCTTGTAGTTTTATCCCTTCAGATAACTGAACTGTTTTCTTTAACGTCCTAAAATTTAAATGCCCAAGTCTCCGGTGTAACAGATTAATACATTCATCATGTGGTTTAACATTCTTATAAACAGACTTAGACTTAGCCACCAATACTGGGTTATCCCTTAAAATAAATAAATCATTTTCTAAACTTGCAGTTACAACCTTGCCATCTTTCTCAATAAAACACTTATCATTTTTAAATGTTACTGTAAACCCAAATTGCAGTAATGATTTAACAGATAATAAATTGAATTTTAACCCAGAAATATATAACATAGGCAATGGTTCATTACTAAATGACCAATGAGCAACACCCACTCCAGCTACCTTAACCTTCCAGCCATTAGCTAGTTTAACATGTTGGTTACTCTTCTCCATTTTAACAAAAAAATTTCTATTTCTAGAAATAGATTGAGAAGCACCAACAATTGGTGTTGGTGGTTGTCAACAACCCAACAATCCTGGTTAACATCAGTAATTGAACTGGATATAGCTAAATTACAACCCTTCTTGGGTCTAGTATTGTCCCTAACAGACATTTTCTTATTCTTACAATACTTGGCTATATGCCCTTTAGCCCCACAAGCAAAACAACGTTTTACAAAATAGGCAGTTGAATACATTTTTTTCTTCTTTTGGTTGTTGCATTCTCAACTGATCCCTTTCTTGTCTTCTTTTGGATTCTTCCAATAACCTACCGATTATGCCAGCCAATGTCAGTTCATCTCTGGACAAAACCTCTAACGAAGAAACATAGTTATCATAACTATTGTCCAAAGAAGAAAGAATTATATAAACTTGTTGTAGTTCTGAGAAAACAAGTTCCTTTTCATGCAGCTCCTGGAAAATTCTGGTCATGGATTCCAAATGAGCCATCATATCTCCACCTTTAAGAAGATGTTGTTTAAATAATCTCCGTGTGAGATAAATGTTATGTCCTTATATGGGCACCCGCCGGGGATTGGCTAATCCTCCGGCGGGAGATTCAAATAACTGTCAGTGGGCGGCTGAGTCTGCCGGAGCGTATAAAAGGAGCTCCGGCAGCCCAGCCGCTCGTCTTTTTCCTGTGCTTGAATAAAGTACTGAACTGGACCAGAGCTGGTCGCGTCTTGCTTCCCTGCGCCGATCTAACACTGGCGACGAAGGAACTGAACCAAGCGACGAACCTCGTAGCACAAGCCAACCTCAGAGAGCTAAGTCACTGAGAACTGAGTCACTTCGTAGGGATTTCCAGAGGCATGGCATCAGCTGAAGTCACTTTGCCAGCCCTCGCTCCATTCCGCCCAGGGAAGGACAAGTGGAAATCCTACGTGGTCAAATTTCGGCAATACCTGAGAGGAAACAACATCAGGGATGCCGATGATGACCGGAAAAAGGGCATCTTCTTGGCTAACTGTGGATCCGAAGTCCTCGATATGGCAATCGATCTCGTTGCACCACGAGACATCGAAGAAGTACCATGGACGGACCTGCTGCAGATCCTGGAAGAACACTACGCCCCAACTGGAACACCAGTGGCGAACCGTTTCACCTTCCATCAGAGGGATCAAAAGGAAGGTGAGACCATCAAAGAATTTGTGGCCGCCCTGCGCCAAATCGCAGCCAGCTGCGAGTTCGATCACGTGGACAACGCCATCGCTGACCGCGTGGGTTTCGGCATGAGGGACAGAGGCCTGCAAAAGAAATTCCTGAGCAGGAAGAAACTCGTGCTCAAGGATGTGGTGGAGGAAGCCACCGCATCCGAAATCTCGGAGAGAGCGGCTGCCGCAGTAAGCAGAGCAAAGGGAATCCACAAGATTCGCTCCACAACGCAATCATCAACTGAGGATTCCACAGCTGGATCAGAGTCGGAGGAGGAATCCACCGTACACAAGGTATCCAGACCCCCAAGGCGGGAAACCGCCCAAAAAAGTTACAAGGGGGAGCGCTGTGCCAGCTGCAGAGGGGACCACGCCAGAGCCAGCTGCAAATGGAGAGACCTGAGACCCCTGCGCTCCAGGCTGGTGGATTTCGGAGGAAACCACATCGGAGTCCTGGGAAGAGCCTCGCTCCACGTGTCTTACCAAGAATTCCAAGGCAACCTCCCCATCACCATCGTCGAGCACGACCGCCCAACCCTGCTAGTCATGGAGTGGTTCAAGCCACTAGGGCTCGGAATAGTAGGGGTTAACCAAATTCGTCAGGACGAACTCGACACCCTCCTCGAAGAGTTCAAGGAAGTCTTCGACGGTAAGCTGGGGAAATTTGTGGGGAAGCCCATTTCCTTTAATCTTGATAAGACAATTACTCCCATTAGGCTTAAGCCCCGCAGAGTTCCGTTTGCCCTGAGGCCCAAAGTAGATGCTCAGCTAGATAAGCTGATAGCCCAGGGCGTGTTGGAACCAATCGATCATGCAGCATGGGAGACACCCATTGTGACCCCCATGAAGCATGATGGATCTGTGCGCATCTGCGCCGACTATAAATGTTCGATTAATAAGGCCCTGTCGCAGAGCGCATACCCAGTCCCAGTGGTGCAACATCTGCTGCATTCACTTGGGAGTGGGACTATATTTGCAAAACTGGACCTGGCCCAGGCTTACCAGCAATTGCCAGTGGATGAAAAAACTGCAGAGGCGCAAACGATTGTCACCCATAGGGGCGCATTTAAGTGCAACCGCCTCCAATTCGGAGTCAGCGCAGCCCCAGGCATTTTTCAATCAATGATGGAATGCCTTCTCCAAGGCATTCCAGGGGTGGTGCCGTACTTTGATGATGTGTTGATCTCCGGGCACTCAAAAACCCAGCTGCTTGAGCGACTTAAACAAGTTTTGCAGCGCTTCAAGGAGAAGGGGTTGAGAGTAAGGAGGGACAAATGCATCATCGGAGTCCAGGAGGTCGAGTTCCTGGGCTATCTCATAGATGGCACCGGCATCCACCCCACCAAAGCTAAAGTCAGGGCAATCCACGAAGCTCCAGCCCCCAAAAACAAAGCCGAGCTTCAGGCATTTTTGGGATTGCTAAATTTTTATGCGGTGTTCCTTAAACAGAAGGCAACAGCCGCTGAGCCACTCCATCGATTGCTGGGGAAAGCGGTCCCGTGGAGATGGGGGACA